TCAAGTTAGAGATCAGGGCTTGAGTCAGATAGTGGCTAGGAGGTGTGGGAGGCAAACTTGAGCTTAGGAACCTGAAGCCAGTCATCTGGAAGGACCAGGGAATCTGTAGTGCCAAGAAGTGATGAACAAGCCCAGTATAATGGTAACAGAGGATTCACCAACCTCAGGAGGAACAGATAAGTTCAGAGGTTTGGGTAGGTAAGGGATCCAAAAATCCAGGTAGACAGGTAGGGTGGGTAAAGGGCCCTACTGCTTCCATGTAACCCTAATACCGGGTAAAAAAAGCTTCACCTTGGCCGCTCCTTATGTACTTCCTGCCAGGGCAAGAAATAGTTTATGGGTTGATGGCGAGGCCCCACAGATTAGTGTATATGGAAAATGGCTGTCTCTGGTTTGATGAACTTTGCTGAATTACGAGCAATCTATGGAACAGGAGCCGCATTGGTTATACTCAGACGCTCATCTCAGGCTCAGATGCCTGAGGTGACCCTGATGAGGGGACCACCATCCCAGGGATGACCTTGGTCCAGGCCTGATCAAATTCAGGACCTGAAGAACCAGGATGTCTGGCCTAATGTTCTCTCCACAACATCCCACTCCCCTTGGTTTGGTCGGTTGATTCCATCCAGGGGTGTGCTAATAAGTGGTTAACAACAGGCTTTCTGAAACAGTGCCAACTTTTAAAGTTTCATCTGTACTATCACATTTTCTCCATCACTTTATTTAGTCTAGACAATTGGCAAAACGATACATCAAACCCTGATTTGTGGCATGGTGTAAATGCTCACAGTGAAAATTTCACTATTGGCTCTCCCTGGCTGGTGGGAGCTGGTTCTAGCACACTCCTGCTTCCATCCCTCCTCTGGGGATTTTCTCTATACAAAATCTTCCCCCTCTCTGAGGAACTAGAATGTAGTGGGGATCTTTCTCGTAAATGGGAGATAATACTGAGGATTTTTCTGTGAAGAATCTTACCAACCCATGGGAGACAGCATTTGTGTTTTAATACCATCTACTTCCTGGAGGCAGGTATGAGCTAGATTGGACCTGGAGAGCGTGTGAATGGAAAAGGGGATGTTTGCCTGTTTCTTCCTAAGCAGACTGGCGTCCTTGGGCACGTTTGAGTTGGTCACTGTTACTGCACCACATCGGAGCCTTTATTCAAATTTGAGGCCATGGGAACTTTTTGTTTTATGACACAAGGGTAGGCAAACATCTGGCACGTGATTGGAGGCACCAGGGCCTCTTTCTGAAAGGGCAGGGTTAAACAGACCAGAAACCACATTGTCTGTCTGTGAAAAACTGTGAAGACGACTTTCACAAAACATGGTGCTGCTGAAATCCTGTCGGCAAACTCAGAATGTATGAGCTAAGATCTGAGGCCGTACTGTGGATTTTGTCCAGCCCCCTTTTTTAGAAAAGGGAGGTGACATCATTCATGCGGGGTCACTGAACAGAGGGATGAAAAAGTGGACTTGATTCTACTCTTTCTGTGCTGTCAAAATGAATTTTTCAACCTCACAATTAGCTTTCCTGTATGGGTTGTTGCTCTTAGGTTTTTTGTTCATCACAGCGAATATAGGTTAAGAGCTTTTGGTCCAAACCTGCTGGAAGGATTGCCTTTCCAAATCCTCAAATATTCATTCACCTGTTCAGTATTTACTGATCATCTACTACTAATGTTCCTAGACTTGTGTTAGATGTTGTGTGGGATAGAAAAGCAGATCTTTCTTTTGCCCTCAAGGAGTGTGTAGTCTAGAAATGACCTTACCAGGTTCTCTAAGAACCCATCCTTTTATGGGTTTCCTTTGTCTCTGAAGGAGCTAGTGATTCTGCCTAGTCTCAGCTTTTAGGCCAAGAAGCTATCCTTGTGCTATCGTTTCCCCTTCCCCCATACCTGTCCAACTCTCAGCCCATTCCCATGTATGCCAGTGCCTTAACCATCCCTTAAAAAACCCAGGTCCTGCTACTCCTCTTGTAGTCTGGGCAAGTCAGAAGGTAAATGGTAGTTTCTGAGAAGCTTTGGGCTTCCTATCCACTACCCCCTCTATAGCAGGCCTAAAACCCTGCTTTGAATTTGGTAGGGGAGTTAATGAAATACTATACTGAGTCTCCTTTTGGTTCATTTCCTGCTCCTCTGTTATCTGATATGGGCACTAGGCAAAATTAAATAAAGCTACAGCTAAGCCAAATTAAAAGATGGAGTAGATCTAGAAATCCTGCTGGAAGGAGAGAAAAGTTAGGCCTCTGAGAATACTAGGCTTGGAAAGCACATGAAGGCACAACCAGTTTCTTCAAATACCGATGTGGTCAGTTTCCTTGTTAAGTCCTAAGACTCTCTCTGTTCAGGGACCAGTAGAGGAATGGTATGTACAACTGAGCTGAGGCCTGGGGAGGGGGTACCTCCAGCCCAGCCTCCTCCCAGGCAGGAGCAGTTGGGCTCTCCAGAGGCTTCTGAGGGGTGGATTATCTTTAAGGAATTTAGGGGTCCCAGGACTTTCTCCAAGGGCAAGTGGGGGGTTATTTGTGCTCCTTTTGAAGGTGGTTGGAGCATATACAAATGTTGTCTTAGCCTGTTCTCCTTCCTCTAGGATTTCTCAGAGGTCCACCAAGTATAAGAAGGCAGTCTGGTGCAGTAGAAAGAGTGCTAGGTTGGGAATCTAGAGAGGTGGGCTCATAGTATCTTTGTACAAGAAGGTCTGGCACTAAATGGCCTCCAGGGTCCCCTCTCAGCCAGCATTGGCTTGGAGTCAGCAGCTGCCAGCTTCGGGAGCAGTCAGAGAAGGAAAGCTCTGTCAGCTCATACTGCCCCTTCCTGGACCCTTGGGAAAGATCAGGGATTTCCAGTGTTGGGCCAAGTTGTGAGGTGCCTCCCCACCCACCCCAGCAGCATGAAACTTCCAGGCAAAACCCCCAGTGTTCCTATAGCTGAAAGGGCAGGCCAGCAATGGGAGCAGGAGGAAGCTAGTGACCGTGTGGTAGAGGGGAGGGAGCCTTAGACTAAAAGGGTCACTGTAAGCCAGTCATTTTCTCTCTCCCTGGGCCTCAGCTTCCCTCTCTTAAAAAAAAACAACACAAAACGAGGTGCTTGAACTTAGGTGACTTTTAATGCCTCTTCTTGCTTTAACATCCTATGATTCTTAAATAGGCCCTTTGGCTAGGAAATCTCTCATAGAAATCTCCTGTGGTGAAACCAAGAAGAACCTGCCCCCTTGATGGGAGGCCAAGGTGATTAGGAGGCACTTCCCCTTTTGAGCATTGTTTGTTTTTGCTCTAATCTGCCAGTGGGAATGGTCTGAGCTGCCTGACTTGCATTTCTGGTTTTGGGTTTGTCACTGTGTTCTCCAGCCCCCCAACCCACCAGGGCGTTGGCAAAGGAGTCACCAGCTGGGCAGGCCAGGGCCACTCCTACCCCTCCTCCTGAACCCTACCCCAGGCCACCACAGGAAAGGGGAAATTCAGAGCTAGTCACTTCCCTGGAGAGACAGACCTGGGGGTGCTCTGCCTCGGTGGTGGCACTGGCTATGGATGAGAATCAACTGGCTGTTTACTATCTCTTTTTCTGCTGAGCACAAGGAAGCAGGTAGAGAATTGTCTGAGAGAGTGGGGATTCTGTTGTGCTGATGAACCCCTTTGGTGGGTGGGATGGCAAGCCAGGATTTGAAACCTGAGAGTGATGAGGTTGCTTCTCAGGGAGCAGCAGCCTCTCAGTCACATGTAAGGGAGAAGAGGACCGCCTCAGCTCTGAGGCTCAGAGTTGTGAGGCTTCTCAAAGCTCTCTCCTCTTCCAGTTTAGAGAACTTGTGGATTGCCAAGAGTTGTCATTCTCGGTCCCAGGCAGGGACATCTGATATAAGAGCAAGGGGGTCACATCCTCCAGATGACAGAGTTAGAGTAGGGGGAGGGGGAGGTGTACTCTCTCACTGGCAGGGTTTTCCTGAAGCCGGTTTGAATTTTTCTTGCTGGTCAGTGTTTTGGTCGTTGTTCCTTCAGATGGGATTTAGAACTTCCCCAACTTACAGCCTGGTCCTAGCTCCAAGCAAGGATTGAGCAGGAATGGCATAATTTTATAGTATCTTCTAGCACTGGTCTAGATATGACTAGAGGACCCTAGCTGAGAAGCCCTGTCTCTCCCCATACCTTGGGGCCAGGCAAAAAGACCTCAGGGTTTAGGGAAGTAGAATTGGTCTCCCTAGTTTGTTGCCCCTGGGACCTGGTGCATAAAAGGCAAACATAAAATTAACATACTGGGCCCTCTTTGCTCTCCTAGAGGTCTGGTATAGTAATGTCCCCCAAAATGTTAGTGCTGGTCAAATATCCCCTTTACGTTTCACTTTCTTGTTCTTTCTTTCCTATCTCTCACACAATGGCACTGCCCCTGTCCTCTGCCAGGCTCAGTCAGAACCTGCCATCTGTGATGGGTAGATGAGTTGTGGTATTCTTTGAGCACCAAACCTTTGGTTGGTCCAGTCCTAGGAAGGCAGTTACTGAATCTTACTACATACAGCAGGAAGGATCTTCAGAGCCTCCTGGCGAAGGCGGGCCCCTAGTCTCTGCATGCCTGGCCTTGGCTTCTTGTTTTGACCTCTGGCTTTTTGGCCCCTGGCTTGCCTTTGGGGTCTCTGGCTATTTGGGGCCCCCTCAACGGTGGGGAATCAATCTTCAGGTAATAGGGTGTCATTTGGGATGTGGGCGGATTGGACGGACCAGGGGAAGAATTTTTCATTTGGACTCCTAGAGGACTTGAGTTCAAATCCCAGCCTTGCTACTTAATACTTTTATAACTGCAGGCAAATCACTTCATCCTTCTGGGTCTTGTTTCCTTATCTGTAAAGGGAAGATCTGGATAATCTCTTTCAATTAAAAATCCTATGGTCCTATGGCCATCACCTCTAAGTCTATGAGGTAAGACCTCTGGGACTTTTGCACAATCTGATGTTCTTTGGCCTCATCTTGTTTCTTGTTGTCTCTCTCTCTCCCTACCTTTTTTCCTCCCCCAGATGCTTGAGACAGACGTGGATGAAAGAAGAGAGATGCCTTCTGAGGAGGAGGTACCCCCTTCTAATGAGGTGGGGGTTAGGGGGGCATCCGAGGAACCAGGCCCTCCTGAGAGCAACCGTTCCCAAAAGGAGGCAGTTGTAGGGGAGGCCTCAAGCCTGGAAGTGCCCCTGCCTGCCGAGTGGGTGGCCAATGGGGCAACTGAGGAACCTGGGCCTCCTGCTGGTGACTGTCCTCAAGGGGAAGAGCCCGCAGAGGAGGCTGCAGGCTCTAGGGCCCCTCCCTTAACTGACAAGCAGCTCTTTGTGATCCCCGAGGTCCGCCTGGACTGCACCTTCAGCCAGAGCTTAGGGGCAGAAGGGATAGAGCAGGATGGTGTCCTGCTGGATGAAGAGGCAGAAGAAGAGGAGGAAGAAGTCGAGGGTGAGGAGGGGTATGAGGATGAGGATGACGAAAGTGATGACAACTACCTAGACCGGAACGAGGCAAAGCGGTGCAGCATGATCGAGACATCGGGCACCGAAGGGGCCTTCATGCTGACGGTGCAGAGCTCCCTGCGGCGCCGCACCCACAGCGAGGGCAGCCTCCTGCAAGAGCCCAAGAGCCACTGCTTCACCTCGGACACCACCCTCAACTGCTCCGACGGGGAGGCCAAGAAGAGCGGCTGGGCCCTGGCCTCCCCGAGCACGATGAAGAAGGAGCTGACCCGCAATGGGGGCTCCATGCACCACCTCTCCCTCTTCTTTACAGGACATAGAAAGGTAGGGGAGAACAATGCCGGGGGGGGGAGGTGGTTGGGAACACATCCGGGACCCTGGGCAAAGGCCCTGCTGAACATGGGATGGTGATGGATTTTACCAGTATAATACCCAACTGAGGATCAGAGATCAGAACTTTAGATCTGGAAGGGATTTTGTCCTAATCCAGTCTCCTCATCTTCTAGAGGAAGAGACTGAGGCAAAGAGAGCTTACATGACATGCCTAAATTCATGCAAGTAATAAATTGTAGAGGCAAGATTGTTGGTGTTTTTGAATTCTAACTCTCTGTGACCCCATTTGGGGTTTTCTTGGCAAAGATACTGGAGTGGTTTGCCATTTCCTTCTCCAGCTCACTTTACAGATGAGGAACTGAGGCAAACGGGGTTAAGTGACATGCCCAGGGTCACACAGCTAGTAAGTATCTGAGGCCAGATTTGAACTCAGTTCCTCCTCACTCCAGGGCCAGGGAGAAACAGGATTAGAAAGCTTGTCTAGGAACAAAGACCTGCTGAGAATAACCCATCCCAAGGGGAGCCACCTGTAGGGGAGGCTACAAACCTGGAAGTGCCCCCACCTGCTGAGGGGGTGGCTAGTGGAGCACCTGAAGATCCTGGGCCTCCTGCCAGTAACTGTCCTTAAGAGGAAGTGCCCACAGAGGAGGCTGCGGCCTCTAGGGCCCCGACCTTAACCAACAAGCAGCTCGTTGTGATCCCCGAGGTCTGCCTGGACCGCACCTTCAGCCAGAGCTTAGGGGCAGAAGGGATAGAGCAGGATGGTATCCTGGATGAAGAGGCTGAAGAAGAGGTTCTGTACTAGAAACCAGGAGAGGCGGGCCTTATAAAAAAGTATAAAATAATAGTCCTTGCTTTCATGCATGGAGGTTATGACTTAGTTAAGGAAGCAAGGCACTCTCATACAAAATTAAATAATAAGCAATACAACAATATAAGAGATGTAAGAGGGCGTCAGATGCTAAATCCCAAATTTATGGCACAGAACATGGTAGGCATTCAGAGGGTGATGGCCCTTGAACCTCTGTGACCTGGAAAGGGCTGAGAAGGTTTCTTGAGGGAGGTAAAGCTGAACAGGGCCTTGAAGGATGGGTAGGATTTGGCTCTGTTGAGGCAGGGGAGAGAGAAAGAATGGGAAGAAAGGAAGAGAGGCAGGAATCTACAAGAGGAATAACCTGTTTTGAAGACAGTGAGTAGAATTTGGCTGAGGCTAGAGAGGTAGGGTGGGAGTTGATTATCGGGCTGAGGAGATTGGACTTGGGACTGAAGAGGGTAGAAAAGAAGGCCCATTTTCCTTTTCTGGTCATTCTTTTCTCAAGGAATATTTTCTTTAGGAGAATTTGAGGCTTAGGGTCTGTGGAGATGGGTCAGACTTCAGGGAGTGCAGAAACTCCATCCTCTGCATCCTGAACTTCAGGCCTTACAGAGATGTTTGTTTATTTACTTATTTTTAAAATTAAATCTATATTTTATTTATGCTCTTTTTCTATGTGGCTGTCACTTCCCAATGATACTCCGTTGCCTCTTTTTAAAAACAAAGATGGGCAGCTAAGCAAAACAGTAATTCTTTGGCTCTGAAACATTTACTAATACATCTTTCTAGACTTGCCTGGGAGCAGAGAGGTCACCCTTCTCTGATGAGTAAGACAATTGATGCCCAGAGAGGGGAGGCACTTACTTTGAGTCACACAGGGACTGGACAGTGACTAGCAGAGCACCTTTCACATACCAGGCATTTAATACATGCTTGTTGAATTGAATAGGGTTGGGGTTAGAACCTAGGCTTGAGGAGGGGCCCATGCTTAAATTAATCCTTAAAGCGTGTGGGCCCAAGGATATGTTGGATCTTGAGTGAAATGTTGGCATCAGAACGTTGAAAGCTCATTAACCACAGCAGTGAGGAGAGGAACAGCTCCAGTGGGCTGGGATCAGAGGGCAGAGATTTAGAGCTGGCTTACCCCTGCCCTCTAGTGGAGAGAAGCCCCAACCGCAAGTCCTGAGCGGGGAGTGAGTCATTTCCTTCTGTGTCCAGAGATAGTGGTTTTCAGGACCATAGTGTTTTCTAGCTTTTGCACCTGACTTAAGGTGAGCCTCACTCAGAGGCTGTTTGCTAGTCTAAAGTGGCAAACAGGTCTGCCCTCTTTCAGAGTGGTGTTGTTGTTCAGTTGTTTTCAGTTGTTTCTGACCCCATTTGGTGTTTTCTTGGCAAAGATACTAGAGTGGTTTGCCATTTCCTTCTCCAGCTCATTTTACAGATGAAGAAACTGAGGCAAACAGGGTGAAGTGAAGTAACTTGCCCAGGGTCACACAGCTAGTAAGTCGTATCAGACTGTATTTGAACTCAGGAAGATGAGTCTTCCTGGCACTCTATCCACTGTACCACCTAGCTGTCCTTCAAAGTACTGTTTGAAAATTTTTTCTTTCTCCTTCTTTTTTCTGTCATCTCCCCTCCAAAAAAGGAACCCTACTTCCTCAGTTTACATGACTTTAGCCAAGAAGAAAGCAACCCAGTGATCTTAGAACCATAGAATGTTGAAGCTGGAAGGGGCCTTAGCAGTCATCCAGTTCAATTTCCTTCATGTTGCAGAGGAAGAAACTGTGGCCCAAGAGCAGAGCAGGGTGTGATGTGTTCAAGGAGATGAACCCAAAGCAAGGCAGTGAGAGAGCCAGCCCTGAAACCCAGGCCTCCCGAGTCCCAGCTCTGCCCTTCTTCACCTCCAAATACCCTCAGAACTTAGCTCTTGGAAAATTCCTCATCAGTACTCACCTTTCAAAGAATCTCTTTTCCACAGATTTTCCTTCATCAGGAGATCCTCCCTTGAGTAGAAGGGAGAATCTGGATTATTATTATTATCAACAACAATAGTAACTTACTCATAATGACTTACTATCAGTGAGCCAACAAGCACTTGCTATATGCTTCCCCTGATCAGGTGCTGAATGCTGGGCAGAGAAAGAAAAGCAAAAGTACTGTCTCTACCATCTTGGAGCTCACATTCTAGTAGGGGGAAAATATGGAAATAACTATGTGCATGCGAGATCTGTAGAGAGGAAATGGAAGGTAGTCTTCAAAGGGAAGAGAGAGCAGGAAGAGGCAGGGAGAACACCTAGGGAGGCTTTCTGCAGAAGGTAGGATTCGAGCCGGGTCTTGAAGAAGGCCAGAGAAACTACTGCTAACACTTACATAACACTTTAAGGTAGGCCAAGCACTTCATATATTGTTTCTCATTTGATCCTCATGACAACTCTTTGAGTTAGGTGCTATTATTATCCCCATTTTGTAGATGAAGAAACAGAGGCAGAAAGACATTAAAATGACTTGCTTAGAGTCAGACAGCTAGAAAGTGTCTAAAGCAGTGTTTGAACTTAGGTCTTTCCAACCCCAAGTCCGGAGCTCTACCCAGTACATCAATCTGTCTCTAAGAATGAACCTTATCGGCATCCACTCCTGGGACGGCGATGCTTTGTATACCTTTTAATTTGATTTTCACAATGATACTATGAAGTAGATAGTACAAGGTTTACCAATGAGGAAACTGAGGCTAAATGCTTCGCCCAGAATCTAGTGGTCTTTCCATCCAGGTCCTGGGACTCCTTTCCCCTGCACCATGCTCCCCCTGCCACCCCCTTCTAGGCTGCTTATTTTCTTTCCTTGCTTTTAGCTGCCTTGTGTCTTAGAGATCAGTGCAGTAGCTCTTGTCCTTCCCAAGTGAAACCAATGAATCTTCAAGTGTTTTGTTTTGTTTTTTTGAATGGCAGTTTGACTAAGCCAATCCTGCTTAATCAGATCCTGCAATACCCTAGCTCTAAGAGAAGTCCATTGCCAAGCCTGAAAGGTTCTCAGTCCTTTATAAATGAGAATAATAGGAATCATTAAATTGTGCTGTGTCCAGCTGACTCTAAGGTTGAAAAGTCATTCCGCTTCTGACTAATGGTTTTCTGGGCCAGCCTTAGGCCCAGGTGGATTCTGTACCTATTCCTAGCTTATCCTGCTTACCTTTCTCTGGCTCTCCTAGTCTTAGATTTTTGCTCTCAGTAAGACTGAAGCCTTGACCAGGCTTCACTCCATGTGTTCAAGGATGGTGGTACAGCAGGGAAAAGAGAGGCAGGGTGGGCTGTATTGTTGCTCACTACCAAAACCTTTTCATGAAGGTGACAGGGCATTTGGAGAAAAACCTCAATTGGTCTGGGAATCCAGTTTATTTTAATTTGATGTTGAATTGAGAATCAAGACTGCTGGGTTAAATCCTTAGGCAAAGGCTTTCCATTCATAGTCCCTTGGTTTACCTATGTGTAAATAGAGTAACAGGTGTTTTGTTTTTATTTCCTTATCCTCCCTCTTCCCTTTACCTCTGCCCCCCCCCCCAATTCCTGGGCCTGTCATGATTCCACTTTGTGAATGGAAAGGTCATTTGCCTGTGAGTCAGGAGCTCTGGGGTTTATATCCAAACTACCACTAACTTCAGTAAATTTGTTAACCATACCTATAAGATATTCAGGATACTGTACTGAGCATTGAAACTTGTTATACAGCCTTGGACAGTGACCTTCTGCTACCAGGGCTTCTGCGTCCTCTTGTATAAAATGAGTGAGTTGGAATAATCTTGAAGAGCTTTTCTACTTGGGACATTCTGTGACATGCGTTTGAGCCCTGGCCTTGTCCCTGAGGGCCAGCCTCTGGGAGGGTCTGCTTGGGGAGGTTGGGTCTGACAGATCCCAGCAGACACCAGAATCAAGACAAGCCCTACCCAACAATGGAAGGAAGTTTCTTCCCATGTTTGAACTGCTTTGATTTCCCCAACTCCTAAGGAGGGAGGGGGGAGTGGGAGGGGCTCAAGAGTACCATTGTACTGGGCTGATAAACTGCGGAAGCTTAAGGTTAGAATGGAAGGAAGCCCAGCGCCAGGCTGAGGGGCCAGAGGTGCTCGTTCCCACGGGCGGGGGGGTACCCAGTGGAGAGACTGGCATAGGAAGGTGGGGGCCAAGTTGTGCCAAAAGGAGGCCATGACCACAAATGGAGTACCTGCATGTAGTTACTTCCCTCAAAATGTAAAAAAGAAAAAAGAATAGAAAAATACTACAACCCACACATTTGTGACATGTGTGTCAGCTAGATTCTGTGATAAAATACCAGCCCACCTGATTGGCATATGAACCCATCCCAGGGGCACAGAACATTGACTGCTCCAGCGAATCAATCCATCAACAAGTTTTCATTAAGTATGTACTCTGTGCCCAGTGCTGTGGGAAATACAAGAAAACACAATTCCTGCCTTAGAAAAGCTTACTGTCTAGTTGGAGAGAGAAGACTAATTGTTTTTACAACTGGAGAGCAGTCCTGGATGGAATCTGATCAAATGCTAAACTGTGTGGTACAGATGTAAGCACTGGAAGAGATCACAGAAGGGAGAGACTCTGTAGTAGGCTGGGAAGGATCTAGAGAGGGCCCTGGCCTGGGCAAGGCCCAAAAGGTTGGGCAGGGTTTGTTTAGGTAGAACGGGAGAGTGGAGGAGGGGCAGAAAAGACTCACGAAGGAAAATGCTGTCCGCATCCAAAAAAAAGGACTATGGCGTCTGACTGCAGATCGAAGCACATTATTCACTCTCTCTCTCTTTTTTGTTTCTTCTTCCTCCCTCATTGGGTCAAATTCTTTACGACATGACTGATGTGAAAAATAGATTTAATGTGAATGTATATGTTGAGGCTGTATCAATTTACATGCTACCTTGGGGTGGGGGGAGGGGAGAGATAGGGAGAAAATTTGGAACCCAAAATCTTATGGAAGTGAATGTTGAAAATGAAAAACAAACAAACAAATAAATATTTTTTTAAGAAAGGAGGGGCAGAAGCCACAAGCACAAGTGGGAAGGTGGGTATAGATACGGCTCATGCCAGGAACGTTAAGGGAGTAGCCTGGCTGGAAGGAGAGATGTGCTGTAGTGGGGGGAGAAACCAAACTTGGAGTGAGAGGCCTGGTTCTGCTCCTTAATACCTGTGTGACATGAGCAAATCAGTCACCCTCTCTGAATCTTACTTTCTCATCTGGAAAACAAGGGGGTTGGACCAGATAAACTCCTGTTGTATCTTGCAACTTTAAATCAATGATCCTGTGACTCTATAAACTTCATAAAGAGGAGAAGAAGATTCTGCTTGGTAGGTAGGGTGGGGGTGACCACTGTGAATGTAATGCCAAAGGAAATAGCGAAGCACCGTTGTAGAGTAGCTAGGCAGGACCCCTGGTTCTAGCCCCTACTTCTGTCATTAACATACACATTGTGTGACCTTGGTTGCTAAGGTCAGAGTTTAGCAGTGACAAAAAGGGAGGGGATTTAGACTCATTCTTCCAGGTCAGCCCTTGCTTTACAATCTTGGCCCAAGCAAGGCTGTGCCTCCTTTGACCTGACAAGTCAGGAGCCAGAGGCCTCTTCCTCAGCCAGAGGTACTGTTTGGGCTGGGGATAGCAATCTGTCTGCTGAAGGTTGTCTCCCCCGGCAAAAAAAAAAAAAAGAAAAATTTCTCTGTTTCCTAATCTGGTCGTAGTCCCCAAAGCATCACTTCATTGCTAGAGACCTATATACAGACACCTTCCTCATGGGCTTAGAACCGGGGAGGGAGATCCAGGTGGGTAGTAATACCTCAGAATGAAGCTTTCCCTGGCCTAACTATAGCCTTCTTAATGTAAACAAAACATCTTCATCTTTCCCCAGCTGAGCGGGGCTGAGGCAAGCTGTGATGATGGTGCTGAGGCATCTCAGAAGAGGAGCAAAAAACTGTAAGTCAAAAAGGACATTGGCTTCTGTCATGGCCGCTTTCTCCGGAGCACATCTTCTGACTCTGCCGGCTTCATTGAGCTTGCTGTGGCTTGCTTGACTCTCCCATTTCCTTTCAGATTCCTTCCACTCCTGCTTGAGGGTTGCTCTCCGTTTCACTGAATTCCTTCTCCAGACTCTTTCCTCTCAGCCTGCCATAGCTATGTCTGCCCCTGAGGTTGAGATAGAAAGTGCTGGATGCTCTGTTCCTATCAGCCCGGGAGATTTATGTGTTGTCACCTGACATTTGGATCAACCAGAGGCATTTCTGCCCTAGGGGGAAGACAAAGTGGATTTTTATATCTCTAGGAGAAGCCTTAGAGGATCCTCCAACCTCATGTCATGCTTGATACTCAACCCATACCCCTCCAAGGTCACCCTTTTAATCAGTGACCAGCTTTGCAAGGAGACTACCTTGGGCAAATCACTTTCCCTTTTTATATCTCAGTTTTCTGATCCACTTATAGAAGTGCTTAGACTCATGGCATAGTGGAAAGAGTAGTGGACTGGGAGTCAGGAGGCCTGGGTTCCAGTTCAAGCTTTTTACTACTAAATTAACACGAGACTTTGTCTCAGTCACTTCTCCTTTCTAGGCCTCAGTTTCCCCACCTGCAAAATGAGGAGTTTGGACTATATTGCTGAGGTTATTTCTAGCTCTAAAATCATCTGATTTCATTTCAACAGACAGTTCTTAAATGCCTGCAATGTATGAGGCTCTGAGGATACAAAGACAGATATAATGCAGACTCTGATGTCAAGGGGCTTACAGTCTCATGGAGAGGGAGAAGAGGACAAGTATATATTGCCTTGATCCAAGAGAGAGTGAAAAATTTGGGGTGGGAGAGATCACTTTCACTAAGGAGTATCAGTGAAGGCTTCAAGGAGAAGATGGTATGTGATTTGGCCCAGAAGGAAGGCTTTCAGCATGTGGAGATGGGGTGTCCATTCTAGGATGTTGTGAACAAAAGGTATAGAGATGGATGAGTAGAGAATAAGAATGGCAGGTGGAGAGTAGTATAGTTGGCAAGAAAATAGGATACGTGAAAGGGAGTAGTATGAGATTAGAACTGGGAAAATGTCTTGGAACTAAATTGTTGAGGGCCTTGAATGCCAAGGATGGGAATTGATCATTTATTTGGTGGTCACTTGAGGAGTGGCATGATTGTGGCATTGCCTAAGGAATGTTGCTAGACTGGAGGCAGGAAAATGGGAGAGGAGGCTATTAGAATGGACTTAAAGTAGTTTTAGGGAGAGCTGAGAGAAGGGGCCAAATAGTAAAGAGATCGTGAAGACAGAAATGACAAAAAATTGGCAACTGATCAAATGTGTGGGGTGAGAGAGTGGGAAGAGGACTCTGAGGGTATGAGCCTAGAAGATCGGGAGGTGCCATTAACAGAAACAGAAACAGAAACAAACTGAAGAAGAACAGGGGGAAGGGATGAGGGAAAGCTGGTGAGCACAGCATTAGACAGTTTGAGTTTATTGTGTAGGTGAAACCTCCAGTGAAGATATTCGGCAGACAAACACAGAGCTGGAGCCCTGGGGAGGGGTGGAGGTGGAGAGAGCTCTCTGGGAGTTATCTATAGAGGACTGGGGGGGATCTAGAGATGGAAGGGGCCGTTGAAACCATCTAGTTCAACCCTCTCATTTTATAGATGAAGAAATCAAGGCCCCAAGAACTAAAGTGACTAGTGTATGGTAATTAATAGCCAAACTAAGAATTTAAACCAATGCCCTCTGACTTCAAACCAATGTGTGCTCTTCCCACGACACCAAGCCAAGAACTTATATTCCTTCCCCTTTCCACCAGCCCTTGCTGCTTCTGTAGCCACCCTCTGAAATTCTCATCTGTCTTTGGTAATAGAACCAACTGTTTTTAGTGTCTCTTGTAAGCTGATTCACAGCCAGTATCCAGTTTGTAACGTGCCATTTTAGAGTCAGCAGGGTCAGAAGTTTGTCTTTTTGCTGATATAGAGAAGGAAGAAGGCTTGGTTAGGAACCTTACATATACTGGTGCAGACATGCAGCTGAAAAAATGAGAGCTCATCCATTTGGCTTTGTGGTAGGTGTTAGGACTCTGGCCCATTTCCTAGAAGTAGAGGTAACAGTGGCTGCTGTCAAGGTTCCATTCTAGTCTATCACTGTTTGTTCAAACTTCTCAGGCAAGCATTGGTAATTTATAGGTTGTGGCTATAGAGAGATCTGATACAGTGAGTAACTGTTTTTTTTGTTTTTTGTTTTTGCTGTTAAAGTCTATAGGATGAAGGAATTCTAAATCATCTTAGAATAGCTGTTAATCAAGAAGCAGTTCTTAAGCACCTACTTTGTGCCAGGTACTGTGCTAGGATTACAAAGAAGAGTAAAAGACAGACCTTGATCTCAAGGAGAGACAGCATGCAAACATCTATGTACAAAGATATATGTATTTGTATACATGTATATACATATACACATATCTATCCATATCTATCTATCTGTCTATCTATCTATCTATCTATCTATCTATCTATCTATCTATCTATGATGAATTAAAAATAATCAACAGAGAAGAAGGCATTAGCATTAAGAGGGATTGGCAAAGGCATTTTGCAGCAGGTGGGATTTTGGCTAGAACTTGAAGGAAGCCAGGGAAGTTAGGAAGTGGGGATTAGAAGATGGGCAATGAAAATGCAGAGTCCAGAGATGAATTGTCTTGTTCAAAGAAGAAAGAGGCTGGTGTCACTGGAGAGAGAGAGAGAGAGAGAGAGAGAGAGAGAGAGAGAGAGAGAGAGAGAGAGAGATGTGTGTGTGTGTGTGTGTGTGTGTGTGTGTGTGTGTGTGGTAAGAAGATGGAAAGGTAGGAAGGGGCCAGGTTTTGATGGGTTTTGAATGCCAAATAGAGAATGTTTTTATTTGGTCCTGGAGGTGATAGGGAAACACTGGAGTTTATTGAATGTTGGGGGTAGAGGTGTGTGTTGGAAGATCATTGGAGAATGGACCAGAATGCAGACGGACTTGAGGCAGGCAGACCCACAAGCAGGCTTTTACAATAGTCTTAGTGTAAGGTGATGAGGGCCTGCACCAGGATGGTGATAATATCAGAGGAGAGAAGAAGGTGTATGCAAGAGACATTGTGAAGATAAAGTCAACGGGTCTTGGCAACAGTTGGGTTATGGAGGGGTAAGAGAACATTTACATAACAGACTATGTTCCAGGTTGTGTGCTAAGCACTCTACAATTAATATTTCATTTTATCCTCACAACCACCCTGGGAGGTAGGTGCTATTATTATCCCCATTTTACAGATAAGGGGACTGAGGCAGAGGTTAAATGACTTTCTCTGGATCACAAAGCTGGTAAGTGTCAGAGGCCATATTTGAACTCAGGTCTTCCTAACTCCAGGCCTGGTGTGCTGTCTACTGTACCATCACGCTTCCCCAGTAATAGGGAAGTTCAGAAGAAGGGATATTTTTGGGGAAGAGAGAATGAATCACATTTTGGACATGTTGAGTTTAACATGGCACATCCAGTTCAAGATGTTCAGTAGGGCATCAGAGACGTTAAGGCTAGATAAGTAGATTTGGGAATCATCATTAGCAGAGATAATACGTTGAATCCGTGGGAGCTGATAAGATCAACCAAATGTAAGAGTATGGAGGGATAGGAGAAATCCCAGCTGTCAGTCTACTGGTATAAGACATTTTCTGGAGGCCTGAGAATTGCTCCTCTTGCCCTTTTTGCCTTTTTGTCTTTTCCTCTTCAACTTGTGTACGCTAGGACTCCTGTTGCTGGCCTTTCATTTCCATTTGATTCCTTCTTCCTAGCATGATTTCATAATTCCCCTTGCTAAACTCCCTCTCATCATTCAGACACTTCTTGAAATTGCATCTGTTCCGAAAAGCTTTTCCCACTTAACTTTGAGAGTAGCAGTAATTCCCATGACATACAACTCCCGTGGGTCTTGTCTTCCTTCATCATGGTATTAGATTTAATCCTTTGCTTATTACATAGTGGAAATACTTATACCTTTAAAAATATCTTTATGTTATACGGTTTAGAGAGTAAATTCCTGGGGCTATTGCTCCTTAATTTGCTGTGCGCTGACGTGTACAGAGACAACTTTGAAAATGACAGTGACTCAGAGCCTCTGTTTCTGTATCTGTGGAATGAAGGGGATTAGACTAGTCACTAGATGATCTCCACGGTCCTCCCATTTCCAAAAGTTTGAAAGAACCAAACAAAGATTTATCTTTTGCAAATTTGGTATTCCATACTGTTTCACCTGGAGATTCTTTTTTAAAAAAAGTCTTTCCCCCCAATTACATGTAAAAACAACTTTTATCATTTTTAAAAAATTTTTTAAAAAAGTTTTGAGTTCCAAATTCTATCCCTCCCTCCTTTCTGTCCCCCCCTTCCTGAGATGGCAAGCAGTCTGATATAGATAATACATATGCAATCAAGTAAAACATTTCCATATTAGTCATTTTGTGCAAGAAGACATGAAAAAGAAAGGAAATAGAGAGAGACAGAAAAACAGTATGCTGCAGTCTGTGTTCAGACTATATCAACTCTTTCTCTGGAGGTGGACACCATCACACATAAACAAATACATAGGAGAATACAAATAATAGGCATAAAATATATAAATCTATTTATCTAATTATTGGTTCAGAGGACCATCTGATCTTAGAAAAAGGGGAAAAAAAAGATGTCAAATATGACTTGACATTTTCAGGCTGCAGATCAGAGACTTGCCCAGTAGACTGATTCAGAACCACCAGTTCCCTGGCTGTGACGGACAAGGCATGTAATTCTGCTGGTGATGGAGTCTCAGGAGTCACACTTGAATGGTTGTTTTGAGAGGAGCACCTCATAGTTATCACAGACGAGAGTCTTTAGGACAAAGGTAACGGGGCCTGTCTCCTGTACATAGAGAGCAGTCTCTTATTTGGCCCATTCAGAAACTTCAGGCATGTGTAGTCAT